AGGCAACCTATGGCACGCGTGCCGATGGCGGCACGTGAGCTGATTTTCAGTGGCACTCACACTGCCCGGGTCCTGGCCACAGGTCCGGGGGGCTCTGCATTTTAATTTAATTTTAAATGAAGCTTCTTAAACATTTTAAAAACCTTATTTACTTTACATACAACAATAGTTTAGTTATATATTATAGACTTATAGAACGAGACCTTCTAAAAACGTTAACATGTATTACTGGCACGCGAAAACTTAAATTATAGTGAATAAATGAAGACTCGGCACACCACTTCTGAAAGGTTGCCGACCCCTGTTTTAAAGCTTTGTGTTTTCTACTGAAAAGAGAAACATAGTAGGAAAAGATACCGTAGTACTACTGCTGAGATATTGCTACATGGCACAACACAGGAAAATTGATGGATAATCTAAACAAACCCTCTGTGACCAGTATGAAAAATGATTCTGTAATTTATAAATTGTATGATGGTTTTATAGATAGATACTTAGAGCAAAACACCAATCTACATCACTATATTAGACTGAGAAAGGCACTTTTTATTTGCTCTACAGTACAGTGTTTGATTTGCGTTGGGTTTTGTAGTTAACACTTTCCCCACTAGACATATATTTTACATTTCAGCCACCCAATAAACTCTACTATTAACATATTTCCAAAAGATAACAGGAAACATAATCTATCAGGAAGAAACTTCCGGAAGCAATCATTTTGTGGAATTTTCTAGTCAGTGTTTCACCATAACACACAACACTCACATCTATAGCACTGCGTGCTCTTTAGTTAGGTGTAATGGGGTACACTGAACAATTATATCCTAGGGTATTGAAGAGCAAATACTATAATCAAGTTATGCAATAAAGTCACACTTTAACTACCATAAATAATACCAGGTAGCATAAATGTCTGTTAAAGCATTAAGATATGGACTCAGATGTAGTTAACAGACAGCACAATGTGCATTAAAGCCTTTTAAAGAAGGCTAACTGTCTAGAGTATGCTCGTAGCAGCTTTTAGGAAACAGGCTGCTTCAGCCCAAACTCTGCTGACTTGCGGACTCCCTGCAGGAGCCTAAAGCCTGTAGCAGCTTTCAGAAAGACATCTGTTTTAATGAGAGCTACAGTCACATATTGGGCAGGACATTTGAAGTCATCACAGTTTGGGGAGGTGTCTGTCTCTTCAGACAGAAGCAGATTCTTGAAATCTTTATTTTTATTTTTTATCATATCACATTTTCCAATATTTTAAGCCTTACCCATCATCTATAAAAAAAAAAAAATAACAGTTCAAATTTGTCAACTCTCTTGGAGAGAAGACCAGTCTCTCTCTGAATTGCACAGAACTGGGATTATCTACTCTTGTGAATTAGCTAGGGTGCAGAAATATATTTCCCAAAAGCTGCATCAGGGTAAAATATTTTCATTCAGAGTCAAAGCTAGTCAGCCTCAGCTGAAATAATGAGAGAAGTTAACACATTGCCACTTGTTTTCATGAGCATATTGATATATGAACAGCTAAAATAGCTAAGTAGTTTCAAACTCTGCCATTTTAAAGATACAATAGAACCTCAGAGTTACGAACACCTTGGGAATGGAGGTTGTTTGTAACTCTGAAATGTTCGTAACTCTGAATAAAACGTTACGGTTGTTCTTTCAAAAGATTACAACTGAACATTGTCTTAATACAGCATTGAAACTTTACTATGCAGAAGAAATAATGTTGTTTATACATGAAACAAGCATGGAAACAGTTTCTTTACCTTGTCAAATCTATTTTTTTAAACTTTCCCTTTATTTTTTTTAGTAGTGTACGTTTAACACAGTACTGTATGCTATTTGCCTTTTTTCCCCCCCCCTGCTGTCTGATTTTGTACTTCGGGTTCCAAATGAGGTGTGTGTTTGGTCAATTCGTAACTCTGAGGTTCTACTGTATGCTAGATACACTTGGTACAGAACTACCGTCAGTCACTTTACCCCACTTCTTAAAAAACAGTTCAAATTTTAAAACCTTGAGTTTGATAAAATTGCTATGTGGGAGAGAGGTGATGTTTGCCATATACATTTAAAAATCTCTTTAAATAGGAAAAATTTCAAAATAAATGCTCACTTTTGCATGCTTGCCTCTGAAAATTTGCCTATTATTGATCCTTTTTTGGGTTATATCCTTTATAAATAAATGTTAGAATTATGAAACCAGGCAGTTTAAAATCAGATGGCATAGATGTCATATTTTATGTGTATTGTATAGTCATACTTTCAGAATAGTGTGTGCTTTTTAAAAAAAACAACAAATAAATAATGGTGAGCTATTTGGAACTTGCATAATATGCCAAATGGAAGATAATGGTTATTCTGTCACCACTTGTGGAAACAATCAACCCCTCACAACCCTCCATTAATTTATTCTTACAGACATGTCTGGTTAGACACATGGAAAACATAGGATGGGCTTTTAGATTCTGTGGAAAGATTTCTGGTCGTCAAAGATTAGATTTTAAATCCTGAAACTCCTTGGAGTAAAATCTCTGGATAAAAAGTGAGTCAGAATCAATGAAGTTGTTCTGAGGTAGATAAATTGAACACCTTACAGTTTCCTCTGGGTCTCGCCTGACCCATGGATCATGAATTGTCATTCTGCAGAAGTGAAGATACAGACATGCCATTTATTTCCTTCTGCTGGTCCCCTATCTTGGTGCATTTTTCCGCACCTCCTCTTTGACATAGAATAACTTCCTATTTCCAATTCTCCAAGCAAACCATCCTTTCCTTTATCCCTCCAAAAGCCTCTTATTTTTAAACCCTGCCAACAGGAAGTGAATGCAAAATAATATTTAAGAAAAAGAAAAACATTGCAAGTTAGCTCTGGCTTCCAATGTAGCCCATCTCCTTTATATCAGCCTTCTACAATTTAAGCTCCATGAGGCAGGGACTGTTTTTATACTTGTCTTATGCAGCTTCAAGCACTCTGTAGGCACGTAGCTAATACTAATAATGTTGTTTATTTCCATGGCCTAATAATCTTCTTCTTGGATTTCTCTTACAGTATTTAGTAGTGTGCTGCAAAGGCAGTAAAATCAGATGCTATTTCATCCCTTTTGAACACAGCTACTATTATTTTTAATAACACATTCTCCATAAGATGTGGGAAAATAGATTAGAAGATAACATTGATTTGCAGACTATAACTTTAGTAATGGGCTATTCCCAAACATACAAAGACAGTAAAGGAAAACTGAATCAGGCAAAAGAGGAATTACTATAAGAACCAACAGTGAAGTAACTATAAGAATAGCAAACTAAATTACTTTGGATTTGGGACATGATGATTGTTTACATTACAAACTAAAATAATAAATGTATACCATTCCCTGCCTTGAAAACTGGAGATTCTCTTTCTTCAGCCTGGCCAGCTATTCACTTGGCTTGATCAACTGAATTTTTATGAAAAAACCTTAACTCTTCAGTCCACTCACTGGACAAAACTGGCTTCCACACCAACCCAGGACTCCATGCAAACTACCTTAACAGGTTTCCCTTTCCTCTGAGGAAAAGCTTCTAGAATCTGCATCCTGGGAGTTTTCTTTGGCAATTGACATGCAGCTAGCATAATACTCTCTGATACATATCCTTTAAACTTCACAAATATATCCAAAACACGTATTGATGTTAAAAAAATACTATGAAATACTGCATTTATAATATGCTGCTGTACAATGTGCATCTGTGGGTTTCTATTTGATAAAATTACATTACAATATTTTGCTAATGAAATAATGTTGAGTTTTTAAAAAAAGACTTCCTCCCAAAGCTTTTAAACCAATTATAGAATTTGTAGTATTCAATTGGCAGTATTCTAGTGGTACAATTATATTTGTGATGAAATACTAAAACAGAAGAAAATGTACATAGTAGCTTGTACATATGTAATTTATCTTGGTATTGTTTTGGGTAGTAATGGTAAGATTTACTAAACTTAAATTGTGTGCATGAAAAATGATTTTGGAAAGTTTTTTTACATTTGAAAAGAATTAATGTCCAGTCATTAGTGATGTCAGAGATAAAAGCCCACCATCTGGAAACATAATAGTTTGCTGATGCAAAGTTACTGATGTGTGTAAGAACTGGAAGGATTGGGACCACCTTTGTTATCTGATAATTACTTTGAGGTCTGAGAGTGCCGCATGCATACGGACTGCAGACTTGGGTTTGAAGATTATTAAATATTATTTATGTTCATATATTTGTACATGTAAATGACTAATATTTGTACATGAACATGGCTTCTAAAGTCTATATGTAGAGATTATTTTGCAGAGAGACCAATATTTATTTGACATATTTTTGAATTTATAATAGTGCTTTAAAGACCCAATCTTGCATGGGGTAGTGTGTGTGGATGGGCAGTTGTGTCCACAGAAGGCCCCAGAGACTAAATGGGGGTTCCATACAGTTATAGCAGTCTGCTCATGAACTACACAATATAGGACTGGGGTCTAAGGCAAATCTATTTTCATAAAAACAAATCACATGAGTGCATGGAACTACAACCACTAAGCACACGATGAATTACATTTATATCAATTCAGGAATGTTTAAAATGCTTTTGGTCTTAAAATATAGTTAGAAAAATCAAACAGTTTTGAGATCTTTCTTCACTTTTTGTCTGTAATGCTTGTCTGTCTTACTGTATAACCAGAAATGGCTTACCTATGTGTTGAAATATAAGCATTAATAGTACTGCTGAACTGGATGTTTAAAAGTATAGTTTTGTATAATAAGCACAACTTTAAGAAATGTAATTATTATTCTTCCTGGAAATACTATACTGTCATAAATAAAAAAATATGCAAGTTAGCATTTGCTCAAAATGTTTATGATGGAAGTATGATTAAAGTTAATTTGCAATAAATATTATGGAAAACTGGAAAATAAGCAATAATTTTCTTAATATATTTGGTAAAAATAATAATAATATACATATTTCTATTTTACAGTTACCTGCCATGGTTTGAGGTATACTACAAGTTGTTAAATACTCTGGCAGATTATTTGGCTAAAGAACAGGTACTTTTAGATATTTGTTTATTTCTAATAAAATATTTTACTTGAAATTAATCGTAATAATTTTAAATCCTACAAAACTGTTTCATACTGTCTGCATGTTTGAACAATGTATTTTTAAAATTTGCAACAAAATAAAAAATGTATGCATTTTAATTTTGCTAAGTGGCCAGGAAGTTTGACATATCCCAATGTTATTAAAAAAAAATTTGGATATGCTGCTGCAACTATTACGTGGATGTCATGTATTAATTTTAAAAAGCTGCTGAGAACATAGTACAGCAAAGTGTCAGAGTCCTTCTGTAAACAAATCCTGGGCTAAGTGTGAGCAGAGTGTCAAGCCACTGGAGAACTCCATGACATGTTGATTGTTAACCAGATAGTTCCTGAGATTTGGGGTTTATCAGATAGAAACACTTTTTCTGAACTGCATTAGATTTGATGTACTACTTTGCCCTTCATATTAACTAAAAACTACATCATACTGTCATCTTGACTAGAAGGGGGAAACTGCTTGCAGCACTCAGTGAAGAATCATGATAGTTTAGTTTGCATATTCATGAGCAATTAGATATATTCACAGGATTGCGCAGGAAAGAAAATACTGGCATCTGTCTTTATTAAAAGTATTAAAGATATACTTTCCTGCTTCAAGTATCTTGGTATACTAAATGTAATTTTTAAAAGAGAAAAAGGTTAGCTGTATGCTGTTGGCTGCAGATGCTGAGATTGCAAGAATATACGTGCAATAATTATACCTATCGGAAACAGGTTAAAGAAAACAATAACATTTTATATATAAAGAAAATATAATAGCCCAGTTGCATTAACTTAAGTAAAACAGAATGTAATGGTCACTGAAGTCCCATTGTTAGCACATTAAATCATATTAAATTTTGTTTTGTCTTAATCTTACTATTTAATTGTAATAGGGCTTTTTATTGAGGTCATGCTTGAATGACAAGGCTCATGCAGGGCAAGGCCTGTCTTTACCTTTGGGTCTTTCCCAGTGCTTGTTGGCACTAAACAAATAAATAGTAGTTCAATGTATAGCTGACAAAGCTGCAACTTTATTATAGTATATGTTAAAGAACTCTACGCTTTAGTGGGCCATAAGTTCTTTCTGGCACTGTACAAAGTGGAAGTATTTGATTTGGTGTGCTGCCTCGTCTCCCATCTCTTGGACTAATAAATCTATCAGAGAGCTCCTTGTTGTCTCCCTGACCCAGTCAAAGATCTAAACCTAAGGCCTTATTTGCTAATACCTGAGTAACTCCACCCATCTTTGCATAGAGAGATGACAGCCCTCTTCAGACAAATTGGATAAGTTTATATGAAAGTTGAATGTACAGTTCTGCTGACATGTTGACCCTTTCTCCACATTTAGCTTGATCTCATTAGCCGAACTATTTTATAATATTTCAAGCTGTTGTGCTTTGCCTGTTCAATTTAGGACCGAATTTATGAATATAAAAATCATGATCTAAGTTCCATTATCATTCCTAAATACAATTCCATTTTGGAAACCAGGTTGTGACACCCTAAACAGATCCAGTAACAAAAAACACATTTGAGTTGTGTTTCCACAGCAGCTTTATATGACATCTGTATGCATTCACATGTACTGCTCTGCCTAATTATGTTTGCGTTAATGCATTTTGGGAAATTCAGAGGTGCTATCCCATAGTCTTAGTAGGGATTAGAGTGCCTGTAGGACATATACATTGAGTGCAACAAGCAATCCAAAGGGAAATGCATCCTGTGATGTCCTATTATATGTAGAGGTAGGAGGAAAGAAGACCCAGTCAGCTCAGTAACACAAATGTGATTAGGGAGTCTCGTCTTTGAAGCAACATAAATATAATGACCTGGTCAGGTCACAGAAAGACAACCATGTGGCAGCCTAGGCACATTAACTGCCATGGTTGTTAAACTTGTGCTAACCATGTTATGTACAGATCCAAGCCATATGTAGAGTACACCATATCTTTGCTTGATTATAAATTCAGTTAAATGTTGTACAGAGAGGTCCCAAAGCCAATACAATTTTAGAAAGGTGTTATCAGGCCAGATAAACTGCGATAGTACCATTTTTAGCATGAACCGTTTTGAAGGGGTTCAAGTAATATGGTTAAATTACATGTGCATATCAGGAAGTGTTGAGAAAGAAAATAAATGTTAAAGAAACCGACTTCAGAACTTGCAAGAAATGCTCATTCTCTGAGCCATAAAAGTAAATTGTGCTTGTACTTTAATATATGGCAGTTGCACTATGAGATGAAGTTATCTGTGATTGAATGAAAAGATATTTGTTAAAATGGAATATGTATTATTTGTATATGATTATTAAGTACTTTTTTTTAAATATTTCCTGTAGGAAAATGACTTGAATGATATGTTAAAATCACTGTATAGCCACCCTGTGCCAAAGGCAAACACTCCTGTCAGTTTAAACGTGGTAGGTATCCTGTGTAATATCTCTTTATTGTAAAAATTTACACAGTTTCTTGTGGTCAAAAAACCCAGACAAAACCTGGGTATTGGTGCTAAATTATTAATATCTCATCATATTGCCTCCTATTGTTAAATGGTTTGCCATACTGTATTCACTTACCATGTAAAAAGTGTGTGTGTGTGTGTGTCTGTCTATGCAGACTCCAATCCTAACCTAGCAGAAATTGAGGTTTGCTGCATGGGTAAGAGGGCAAGCTACCATAGCAAGTGGCAATGCTACTCCTTATCTTGTTCGTTGCCTGCTGTCTCAGATGAGTATCTTTAGTTACTCCTGCTGTGGATCAAGATCTGCACCATGGCTTCTGAACACCTGAGTAGGGAAGGGTATGTCATATGTCAGTCTGAGCTTGGCTTTTCTACTGCCTGCCTGCAGTTGCCCCCTTTTCCCACTTGTGCTTGATCATGCCAGGGTGGAATGCAGAAAAGAAAAGGAGGGTTTTACTGAACTGTGTAAAGATTTCTGCAGGTCCAGACCAATGAACTTGCACACAGGTAAAGTGATTTGGGAATGTGTCCTGAAATTGTAGCGAATTATGGCTCCCACAGGAACAGCAAAGTGTTGCACTCATCACTTACTGCTATCATATTGGATTTGCTTGCCAAAGAGTACAACTCCCTGAGATAGGGTGACCAGATGTCCTGATTTTATAGAGACAGTTGTGATATTTGGGGCTTTGTCTTATATAGGCGCCTATTACACCTCACTCCACCCGATTTTTCACACTTGCTGTCTGGTCACCCTACCCAGAGGTCACCTTTCATAGTTAATATTTTTCTGGGTGAAATGGTGTTTTTTGCTAAAATATATACTGGTTGGGTAGAAAAATAAAGCAGCATGCCAAATGTGGGCAAGTTAATGTTATATGAGAACCACAACTTTTGCAGTTCTTGACCTTTTTTGTATTTTGAATTTGTAACATTAATGAAGCATTAGGTTGTACATTTTTGACATATAATATATAGCATTTCAGATGTGTGTTTAGAATTGTATAACACAGCCATAGAACTTCCCCAAAATACCTACACCATATCTTTTAGAAAAACATCCAATCTTGATTTAAAAATTATCGGTGATGGACAATCTACCATGACTCTTGGTATGTTGTTCCAGTGGTTAATTACTCTCACTGTTAAAAATTTACACCTTTTTTCCAGTATGAATTTGTTTAGCTTTGGCTTCCAGCAATTGGGTCGTGTTATATCTTTCTCTGCTAGATTGTATAGCCCATTATTAAATCTTTGTTCCTCATGTAGATACTTGTAGACTGTAATAAAGTCACCCCTTAACCTTCTATTTGTTAAGCTAACTAGATTGAGCTCCTTGAGTCTACCCCATAAGGCATGTTTTCTAATCCTTTAATCATTCTTGTGGCTCTTCTCTGAACCCTGTCCAATTTATCTACGTCCTTCTTGAATTGTGGACACCAAAACTGGACACTGTGTTCCAGCAACAGTCACACCAGTGCCAAATATGGAGGTAAAATAACCCCTCTACTCCTACATGAGATTCCCCTGTTCCATCCAAGGATCGTATTAGCCTTTTTGGCCACACTGGCAGCTCATATTCAGCTAATTATTGACCATGACCCCCAATCTTTTTCAGAGTCATTTCTTCCCAGGGTAGAGTCCCCTGTCTTGTAAGTGTGGCTTACATTCTTAATTCCTAGATGTATACATTTACATTTAGTGATCTTAAAATGCATATTGTTTGCTTGCATCCAGCTGACAAAGTGATCCAGGTTGCTCTATGTTATTGACCTATCCTCTTCGTTATTTACCACTCCTACAAATTTTGTGTCATCTGTAAACTTTATCAGTGATGATTTTATGCATTCTTCCAGATCATTAATAAAAACATTAAATAGCATAGGGTCAAGAATTGATCCTGTGGGTCCTGACTAGAAACACTTCCGTTTGATGATGATTTAGTGTTCGCAATTACATTTGTGACCTATCAGTAGCCAGCTTTTAATCCATTTAATGTGTGCCATGTTAATTTTATATCTGTCTAATTTTTTCATCAAAATGTCATGTGATACCAAGTCAAAAGCCTTACAGAAGTCTAAATATATTAAATCAACACTATTACCTTTATCAACCAAACTTGTAATCTCATCCCAAAAAAATCAAGTTACTTTGACACTATCTTTTTTCCCATATAACCGTGTTGATTTGCATTAATTGCATTACCCTTCTTTAATTCTTTATTAATTGAGACCCATATCGGCTGATCCATTATTTTGCCCAGGATTGATGTCAGACTGATAGGCCTATAAATACCTGGGGCATCCTTTTTACCCTTTTTAAAAATTGGCACAACATTAGCTTTCTTTCAGTCTTCTGGAACTTTCCCAGTGTTCCAAGTTTTATTAAAAATAAACATTAACAGTCCAGTAAGCTCCTCAGCCAGCTCTTTTAAAACTCTTGGATGGAAGGTATTTGGACCTGCTGATTTAGAAATGTCTAATTTTAGTAGCTGCTGTTTAACATTCTCCTGAGATATTAGTGGAATGGAAAGATAGTTGTTGTATAATATGACTGCATAATCTGTTTTTTCCCAACTACCAGAATAGAAATATGTATTGAATACTTATGCCTTTTCTGCATTATTATTGATAGTTCGACTATTTCCATCTACTAATGAACTGATTCTGTTATTAGGATTCTTTTTGTTCCTGTTGCACTTTAAAAAGTTGTCCTTTACTGGCCATAGATTTTACCTTGTGTCCCTTTGCTTCCCTTATCAATTTTCTACAGTTCTTATCTTCTGATTTATATTCATTTTCTAAAAGGACATCCAGTCTTGATTTAAAGTCATTGAGAGATGTAGAATCTACCACTTAGTATTTGTGCCAATGGTTAATCACCCTTACTGTTGACAATTTGTGCCAAATTTCTAATTTGAATTTGTCTGGCTTGAGCTTCCAACCATTGGTTCTTGTTATACCTTTCTCTGATAGATTGAAGTCATTTAGTATCTAGTATTTCTGCCCATGAAGGTACTTATATACTGTAATCAAGTCACCTCTCACTCTTCTTTTTTTCCCTAAACTAAACAGATTGAGCTCTTTGTCTTTCACTATAAGGCATTTTATCTATCCTCAAATAATTTTTATGGCTCTCAAATTTTCAAGTTATTTTAAAGAAAACAACCAAGTGGAATATATTTTAGAAAATAAAATCAATATATCATTTAATACTACATCTCGGCACTTTTTGCAAGAGTATTGTAGTATTGTATTGCAAGAGTATTGCAATTTACATTCTTCCTATTTAAAATTTCTACTCTAGTCACAATTGGATATAGCAAGCTTCTTCACTTCCTGTCTTACCTCTTGAGAATTGCTACTATTCTCTTTTAAGAGGATGGAGGGAAGAAGTGGGATTAGCTAAACTGTGGACTGACTGGAAGGGAAGCTATTCCTTTGGCCATCATCCCCTGCGTCTCTGGGGGAAGGAGAGAGTACTGTGCTAATCAATTTTTGCTTTGGAATCCATTTAGATGAAGGGAACTTATATAAATGGAGACCCAATGCCAAGTGCTGGGCTGCAAATAGAGACAGGAAGTGGTGTGGGACCAAATTTTAGGACCTTTAACAAATAAACAAATGGACTAAATCAGTCAAACTGAGTGAGAAGTCTTTGCTGAACTTGATCTAGACCCATGTGCACTGGTAACTGGCACAGTTGCAGGAATCCAGAAGCTGTTTTAGTCTGCAGTCTGGCTTAAATTTTTATGTCTGTTTGTTGTGTCCCCTTTTCCCATATTTAAGTGGCAAGGTCTTAAACTGTGGATGCTAATAGATTTAAAATTAAGTTATATTCTGAAAAATGACTGTAAAAATGGCACTATGGAATTCCATGTTTACTGTCCCTGAGTGGGTCTAGATCAAATTTCTTGGTGCAGAAGTAAAAGGATGCTGACAGTTGGAAAAAACACCACAAACTCATTCTGGGATCTGGAAGCCAAGCTGTGTTCTTTCAGTCTCACACATCAGCACTGGTAAAAAATACATTCTTCAACTGGAACTTACCATTATTAAAGCATTCTGTCGGTGATATGTGAGCCAGAATGGAATCCAGGTCACACACTCTCAGGCTCTGTTTACAATGTCCTGCAGCCCAGACTACTGAGGTGTCAGCTACAGAGTACACCAACGTGTGGCATGCAAACTGCCCCACTTGGATGATACTGGTGCAAACTAAAAAGTACCTAGTTTGTGCTTTAGTGTTTTGGAAGCACTACATTACTGTGAAGTAAACATCTTTTAGTTTGCACTAGCAGCATCCACACAGGGCAGTTAGCGTGTCCCTCTTTGGTGAGCTCTGCAGTTCACAGCCCTGTAGTTCACTGTGGTGCCGTGTAGACAAGCCCTTTGATGTTTTGGCCTTGTATAGCTAACAGGAATAAAACGTAATAATGGTTCACTTTTGTCAGAAATGTCAGCCAGTTGTGGTCTGAATATACACAGGTAACAGATCTGATGAGTGAGTCACTCTTTTGACTATTACCACAATTCAAGCCTGTCCATTCCCCTGATTACATGTACATTGAGTGTGTGGGTCATAAAGCTGCACCGTTAGATAGAGCTTTATTGAGGGGTGGTTGAAAGTTATGGACTCTTACTGATACCTATATTTCAACTGCACTGTGATGCTTTTATATCACAGTGTGACTGCTTTGATGCTAAGGAGGTGAAATCAGAACTGTCCAACCTAGGAAATTTGTTTCAATATATGGAACCAAGGTCTGGGTGATGTCATCATTAATTGTTAAAAAATTAAAGTCTAACTCCTAGGTAAACACAAATACAGCACACAATGTAATGAGATTTTCTACTCTATCAACCAACAAAAATACAAAAAACCCCCAATCTTTAACTTTGCTTAATCACCCTGCAAATACATTTTATGCCCTGCCATTTTATCCATGGCTATTATGCATTCTCTGTTGATCTGTTATAGTATTTTAGTTAATTATATACAACAAATGAGTCTTGCATTGTTATGTAGAAGGTCAGAACCTGAAATTCTACTGATTAAGTCATTTGACATTTTCATTCTTCTCAAAAGATTATCGCATATTGAAATCTTTGCCCCAGTTACTTTTATAGTTAAAATATTATGAATCAGATTTAATCTTTTGGTTTAAAAAACAAAATGTCCAATTTTTCTCTCATGTTGCATAAGAATCAAGAGATGTTTTTTGCAAGTGAGCAAGTTCTGAAAAATCAGCCGTACCTAGTATCGGTGAGTTTAAAAGAACTGGCTACCTAAATCCTACCGATGAAAGAAATAATTACTTGCCAGATGATTTCTCTGTTGATTTCAGGCTGTTCATATATGGTCTTTTGGAAAATGATTATTCTGTGGCTTTCTAGTCTAAAAACCCAATCTTTATTAATATATTTCTGTTTATACTGACCTTATTTCAAAACTGCAGTATGTGTGAATTATAATCCGACTGCAAAAACAAAACAAAATTTAAAATGGAGATGATGGAATAAATATCCTACATTTATTCGCACTTCCACTTTTTAAATAGCAGAAGCATGATAGTGACCAGCACTTGTTAATTTCATACCTATTAAAGATCTTATGTGTCTTCCTAAGAGACCTCAGAATAGGTTGCAGTACTCCAAGCTATATTATTTCCACTGGAAATACAGTAGAACCTCAGAGTTACCAACACCTCGGGAATGGCGGTTGTTCATAACTCTGAACAAAACGTTATGGTGGTTCATTCAAAAGTTTACAACTGAACATTGTCTTAATACAGCTTTGAAACTTTACTATGCAGAAGAAATAATGCTGTTTAAAAATGAAAAAAGCATGGAAACAGTTTCCTTACCTTGTCAAATCTATTTTTTTAAACTTTCCCTTTATTTTTTTTAGTAGTGTACATTTAACACAGTACTGTACGCTATTTGCCATTTGTTTGTTTGTTTTTTGTTTGTTTTTATTTCTGCTGCCTGATTTTGTACTTCCGGTTCCAGATGAGTGTGGTTGACTGGTCAGTTCATAACTCTGGTGTCCGTAACTCTGAGGTTCTACTGTAGCTGATTATGGCTCTGGTGTCTGGCAGTAGTGGGTGATGGCTTCCCATAGCACATCTCTGCTGTTCTGCTCATTGAATTGATTATTTCTCTGTTAACATTATGAACAGTTAGAAAATCATTGATTGTTTCACTTCTAAATTACTACTGAATAATACTCTGTAGCCTTAAATACTCTGTGTTTGTGGGCAGTGGGGGAGGAGAAGAGAATTAAAAGTTTGGTATAAACAGAAAACAGAGGACTTTTTCATTGATCTGGGTGTATTCTTGGTCTTTGCAAATGGAAAAATAATTTTCTTTGTCTTTCATTACTATATTAATGCACATCTGTATCTTGGTTTATTTATTGTGCACAGGGCACAGTGTCATATAATGCATTCGTTTTGTATAGCTAGTGTGTTGACTTTTTAGCTAGTGCCAAATAAGCTAATTATTGTTAAGGGGAAAATGTTCTTTAAGTCCATTAATCTGGTGCAGTAAGATCTTCCTACATGCATATAGTAAATAGCAATAATAAATTACATTTGCTGATTAAACACAAGCTACATTAAAATTTTTATATACTTTTATATATTTCATCATGTTCTAGTTAATCTTTTTAAAGTTTGACTAGAAATACATTTTATTTTTATATTGGTTGTTCAAATATCTATATCTATATCTAGATATAGATATAAACAGAGGCAGTTATTTTAAATTGTAGAGTATATGCTCACTAAGAAAATGGGATAAATAAAGTTTTTTCTCCTACAAGATTTAGGCTAGGATACTAATGATATGTTAAACTTATTAAACCAAATTCATCCTTGTTTAAGTATTGAAGTCACTGGATTAATATAAATTAGTGAATTATAGCTGTACTGAGTTTGATCTGGTCTGTATTTACATCCTGAATGTTGCTCAACCTTTAAATATATAAAGTTGTATAAGGTTGTTAATATTTGTCATAGATTAATGTGGAAAGTCAAGTAGTCTTATCCTAATTTCTGTTTAAAGATTGTTGTGAAGTTGAGGGGAACTGTACCTGCAGTAACGTTCTGTCTGTCCTAATGAATTTATTTTCTTAAGTGAATGATTTTTCCTCTTCCAGTCTAAATTTAGATTTTGTTCTCTTGTAAATTTTTGTGGGGGGAAACCTATTTGTCAGAAACTCTTAATCGTTAGTCCCAAATTGAATCTGCTGTTTCTTACGCTCAGTCTTGACACAGTATTTAAAATTTGCATAATTTCAATATGACTCTAAAGCAATGGCATGTTGATTTTTGATCTGCTGAATCTTTGGTGTTCTGGTCTGCTTTATTTTATAATATATACACACACATACACACACAATTTGTATTCTTGGTCTCTTTCTGCACAAAATATTAATTTTGTTTCCTCCCCCATTAATTAGCATTCGTACTTCATTACTCCTGATCTAACTGGATTGCCAACAATCCCAGAAAGTGTAAGTATGTTTTTTTTTAAAATATCTAACCAGCAGTGTTAACCTTGTTCGATGGGTGTGGCTGAATTAAATTTGTAGTTATGGTCTATCGCTGGGCCTACAAAGTTAGAGCCATATACTGCTTTCCACAGAAGACCTCATACTGGTGTCAATCAGAGGTTTTTACAAAGAATGAGGGGAGAATACAGCCTTTGTCTAATAACAGAATCTTTAGTTAGTGAAAGAACTGCTGCATTGAGCATCATCCAGTGATAAAGAATTATACAAGGTATTTTTATGACTACCACTATTTCTGTACATTGTTTGAACATTTGCACATTCAGTTACCCAATTTGTGTGTGCATTTATGGTAATTATATATACAAATCATGCCTGCCACTTATGCACCTGAGTTATTTGAATATCTGGCCCCCCAAAATTGCATAATTAAATGCCAGAATTAACATCCCATTGAGATGAATGGAAGCAATTTATTTTTCTGAGTGCTGTTGTTTCAAGCTACCTAAGACACACGTGTTCACATTTGGAAGGTGATCTTGACAGCTCTAATGGTTAAAAGATTTTTTTTTGTTTAAATGAAGGTTTGCATTCTACAGAATTCAAATATGTGATGGAGGCCAGATAAATACATTAAGCAGGCTGTAAATGTAGTATCTGTGATCTTCAAGTGTGTGCTTGACTGCATGTTTAATAGCTAGCCATTGAACGCGTAGCTTATTTAAATAGACCACCTTCTTTAAATCTTGCATTTAAATGTGGGATCAAGGGCATTCATGCTATAGCTGGCCATTTGCTACAGTTTTGAAATTATGATATCCTCCCCTTGCCCAGAAAATTAAGTCTGCTCGGTGGCATGAAGAAATTATGTGATGCACATACCAGAATATTGATTCACTAAAGTATTTCAAATCTGTGCCTGCGGTTGATAGATGCTGTGATTGTTGTGAAAGTAATGCAGTACATTTTTATACTGTTCATAGGAAGGAAAGAAAATGGAAGTAGAGGTGCCTTTCTCTACCCTCTCTTTCCCACTCATTCCATTTGTAACTGTGTCCCATCCTTTCAGTCTAAGAAGTAATAAGAAGCTATGATTTTACATGGGGAGTAAATAGATGGGGGCAAACAGTAGTAAATTAATAATAAACTCTAGTCCACTAATTCTTTGCTGTGAAGCTTAAAGTATTGCAATGAACATTTACATTTTATATTTTAAAATATAAATAAATCTGACAATTTTTAGCAAAAAAATAAATAAATCTATATAGCAATATAGAGTGCTTTATTGAAGTGAAGAGCTAGATATACCTTTTGACTGTTCTGCAGCTTTAGCAACACAGAACCGCAATATAAATAAGATGCTATGCAGCTAGTCCTTGGTAAATTAGAATCAATCCAGTCATTGTGGCACACATCTCTCTCAGATGGGGTATTAACATGCTGTTCAAGAGCCACGGTTCCTTTCTCCACACAGCAGTTTGGGTCCTAACAGCCCCTGCCTTCATCTCTTTCACCAGCTCTGAGCCCTGATGCCCCGGGGGCCAGGCATTACTTTTTAGGCCTTCTCCTGGGATTTATTCAGTATGCCCCAATTTATGTGAAATTGGGCCTTTCACACAGTTGCATCCTCATGCTTTGAAAATGTCAAGGCCTTACCTTGCAATTTTTACTCACTCGCCTTTCTCTCCCCCACACCCCAAAGTACAATCACAAGGGAGAAGGTGACCATTCTTATCCAAGCAAAATGTAAACAAATGTTTATTTATTTAAGGTTTATTTGCAGTATTACCCCAGTTCTGGTGCACAGGAATTTCCCCACTCTCTTTCCTGCCCGGTGCGGTCTGGCAGTGATCTTGCTCCGCTACCCCTTAGAGGGGGTGATTGTGTTTGGCATCTTTGTCACATGAAGGGAGGTAATGGCAGAGGGTCTCAGCATCTTCTCTCATCCCCCCCAGTACACTGAGGGCACAGCACCTGTGGGCCAACCAGTAGAGTTGAGAGTAACATTAATCATCATGCCCCTGATCTTTTTGGCATTGTGAGAGCCTGGCAGGGTAGCACACTCTGATGTCATAGCTAGACCAAGGGACAAATTCTACAGGTGTGGAATTGCAAGAAACCTGAAATAGGGGGGAAGGTTTGACCATACAATTGGTTGGGGGTAGTGGAATGTGAGATGCACATCAGGAAGAAACCCTCCCTGCACTCTGAGCCCCCTGGCTGGCCAGTGATAGTTGCTTTCCTGTTCAGTGTAGGAAATTAAGACTCACCGTCCCTGACCATGCAATCTGAGACACCCACCCCCCTGTAATTAGTGAACCATGAGGGCAGACGCTGGGCCACACCATCCATAGAGGCTGGAGAAGCCTAACTGACAGCTGTGAGTCCCATTTGGGTTCCTTGTTCCCACCAACCATGGCATACCCTAAACCGTGGGACTCAGCCCTTTATGGAGTAAATGGTTACCCTGTATAGGTACTGCCAATGGCCAGCTGTCAGGATGAAATTAAGGCAGCTGTCTAGTCAGATCCATTCTACCATTTCACATTAATAAAAATACTAGTAGCTGAAAGCCTGTGCTGTTACACAGGTGTAATACATAGTCATGCATATAAAAGCTGAAAATGACTGAGAACTTAAAAAAATTGACAGTGACAGACCATAAATCCCAGGTAGTGATGGTGTGTGTGGTTGTGTTCATTTTCATTTGGTGGGGGTGGGATTGTGCTGGAGATTTGTGTTGTTTTGTGCAGGTGGCAGATCAGAAGTGTGTACTGCTGTGAGGGGTTATATATATATTTTAGTTATTGTATGTGCTGGTTCTGTTGTTGTGTGGGTGATTCTGCAGAACAATGGCAGCTGGGCCAAATAATCCACCATCTGTGTAGTCTCCTTCATACAACCAATGATATTGTTGTGTGCATATTAGCTATAGAGTAAGGCTAATGATTGGTTGAGTTACCACTGGTATCACAATGGTCTAGGACTCTTGGCATGGTATACATACATGCCTTACTGTACCTGGATGCCACATGGGAATAATTTGTGATGTCAAAATGGCTGAGAACATAAAAATTTGACAGTAACAGACTGAGAATCCCAGTGATGACTGAACCTGGTGATATTCTGAACAAGAAGTGCCCTTAGCAACACTTGTAGCTGTTTCCAACGCTTCACACTGACTCAACAGACATTTTAGGCTTCAGAGTGACATATATTGACACACCTGGAGTCTTATTATACAGATTAAACTTCTTGGTTTATACATTAATGAGGAGGAATTTACTAACGAGACAAGGTGAGTGAGTTTATATCCGGGCCAACTTCTGTTGGTGAGAGAGAGAAGCTTTCAAGCTTACAGAAGTTGGTCCAATAAAAGATATTACCTCCCCCACCTTGTCTCTCTAATATCCTGGGACCAAGATGGCTACAACAACACTGCATACAATGAGGAATTTACTAGTTTAATTTACTACGGTTGGTACTAAGTCTTTGTGAATGCTTTTGTATATATTTTACAAAGCAATGCACTTTTAAAATTTTTAATTTATATTCACCTAAGGCCCAGGATGCATTCATACTAAAAACCCAAAATATAAATAAAAATTAATAGCTGTTTTAAACAGAACTAGCACATATTGTTCCAAAGTTTCCATGTTTCCAAATTTGTTGAAAATACAAAGTTCCTCTCCACCCAGAAGGATAAGTAAATATACAAAATGAAGAGACGATCTTAAAGTTAATTTTACTTTGTGTTTAAAATGGCAAGGAATTTTGTGAATGCAGATATTTAATGAACAGACATGTTTCTCTGGCAGGATTGATTTTCATTTGTATTGTAAGAAATTTTATAAATAATGTACGAAATGTTCCACTCAATTACTCTTGTTAATATATGTTAACATTTCTTTTTTTATTTATTTAAACAGAGAAATCTTACTGAATATTTTGTTGCTGTGGATGTGAACAACATGATGCAACTTTATGCCAGTATGTTGCATGAGAGACGAATCATTATTACCTCTAGCAAACTAAGCACTGTAAGTACTTCACACATCTCCTTTTAAGTAGAATATATTGAGCATTTCATAAAAAGACCTACAGACCTCTGCAGATTTAGATATGTTCCATGTGTACTTGTAAGACAATATCTACATACTTTTTTGATATATGGTTTTAATCTGGCTCTTGAAGTACAAAAGTCTGATTTATATAAGACCTACTCAGATACATTAAGTCAGGTTAATTATTTTTTCTTATCAGGAGATGAGAGTTCTTTAACTCTCCAGAGTTCATTTCTGTGCCTGCTACCCTATAAAGAATTCTTAAGGGCTATTATAAGATCTTTATTATTCACTTGTGGCTTATTCCATTGGAGCTACTTGAAGGAAATCAAGAGGCCATGATAATAGCTGCTATCCTAACCAGGTAATAGGTAGATTCATCTTTGTTGCAGAGTAGTGGTTTGGGGTATATACTGTAATAGCTCTGATTTGGAACAGCTCTTGTGGCTGATAATAATTTACAACTCAAAATAGCATTTTTATGACAGGTTTTAGGGTACTGCCCACAAAGAAATGTTTTTCCTTATGTCAGTATAGACTGGAGAAATGAAAGAATGGCTATGTTTGGTTACAAACACATATCTAAATATTCAGATATTCTTTTGTTTTAAACGTTGAGATTTTCTTATAGTTTGCATGCTTGAGAGGTTAACTCAGGTTGCAAGTGACTATAATTTTACAAACCAATTTGTGTTATAGTATTTATTTGTCATTTAGTAGCTTTAATCTTTTGTTAAAACTCAGTCACAGAAAATCCTTTTATTTCTTTTAAGCAGTGCTGGATAAAGCCTTTTATCTGACACATTTTTCATAGTAGTAATTCAACATTACTAAATTTACTAAAGAGTAAATGAACAGTTTTCCTTGGGAACAGGATTTAGATGCAGTTTTAAAAACGCAATTCGGAGCAACTTTTCAGAGATAAACAGATGTTCTATTTTGTTTCTAAAAACAAATTTCTATGTTATGTAATATTTTTTGAGATCTCAGAGAATATATGGTATATAAAGATTAATTTAAATTCCATTGAGCCAAAAAGGAAATTTTGTGGGGTGGGGAAAACCCTGTGTTGCGAAAGGATGCTAGTAAGTAGCAGCAGTTCCTACAATTAAAAAAGAAAAAGAAAACATCACAAGTCCCCAAATGTATAACTTGTTGTGTGGGCTGCTGCATCGTGCAGAGTCCCACGTGACTTTAGTGGGTCTTAATGCAAGCACATCAGTTCGCATGCCTCAAGGTGCAGGAGCAGAGCCAAGCTAAATAAACCATAAATAGTTTGTTATTGAATGAGTGATGTGCAGCTTTTAGAAAGCAGTTGATGATGTAAGTACTGTAAGCTTGCAAAAAAAATTATTCTATTAAAATCCCAGTGCCTTTGACTTTTAAAAGCTAGATCTTTTCCTTTAAATTCAGACTAGGCTAGAATCTCCCATTTCAATCATACAGTCCAAGATTTATTTCAGTTTATCTAAAATGCATCCATCAAGAGTAGTGCATGTACAAAACTTATCAATAAAAGTTAAACAATAAACAGTTTTAACTGATGTCCAAACGCAGAGTCCTCCCAGCCTCCCCTACCCCAAACCAACATTTCACATCATCTGCTTCCCATCACTTCACCCATCCTCCCTCCCTGAAAAAGCCTAGGAGACCAGATGAGCATCACACCATGAACAACAAATTTGGACTTTGTCAAACCAATGAGGGAAGAGACTTCTAAAATGGTTGCTCCTTCACAGAAAACACCTTGATCCTCACCCTCTAGGCTGAACAAACTCTGACCTATATTCTGAAGTCCAGAGGAGGTGGACAATACATAGAATTAAGCCATTTTTGCAGCTCACCAATCCAGCTGCATGCTTGGTCCCTGATAAGAGATATAATATCCATAAGGGTGCAATAAATAGCCCCAGTGATGCTCTAGGAGAAGAGATGTGTAGGAGTCACTGTGGTGTTCCTTATACCCCTACAAGAATCCTGTATTAGTCAGTTAAACCAGGTTTAAGTCTGCTTTGTGCTGGAAAGCTTAATGGGATGTATAATCTGACCTGTTTTTGCCTAGCTCCCTCCCATTTAAGACCAGGGCTGTTAGCCTTCATATCTCAGTTGATCTCAATGGCATAGTAAGACACTGTGACCCAGGAACCTCTTAGTTCCAACTGGCAAGGGGCACAGAGGGGGCACATAGGGGCTACAGGAATCTCCTGAGTCTGGTATGAACATTCTAGTTCACCAAAGAATGTCATGTGAGGTCTCGAATAAAAGCCAGTATCACATGCATCATCAATATCACTGTGAAATGCATGTGCAGATGTTGTGCAAGGAATTATGTGTATATATACAGAAAATATGTTCTTAATATCTGTGTCTAGGAACTGGTCAGCAGCAAAGGTGCAAAACAGATTTTCTGTCAGACAACAGATGTATTTCCATATATCTTTTTACATGTACATTGAGTATGGTTTTGTTCACAATGGGTCTCCTATCACCAGTCTGAACTGAATGCAGATGAAGGATTGTGAGCACTTCAGAAAGAAACTAACTGAGGGAGAGGGGGAGAGAACCTTATCTGGAGGTGCTCTTCAAAGGTTTGCTCTATTATATTTGGGGGGCAAAGAAAACACCCCTATCGTCCTTCACTGAGAAAGTAAATGTGCAACGAGTTTGCTTCGTGACAAAGGGGTCTCAGCCAGGATTGTTTGAAAACATTGTAGAGAACTTTGGGTGAAATAAACTTCTTTAGACAGTAGGTTAACCTGTTACACCTCTACCCCGATATAACGTGACCCGATATAACACGAATTCGGATATAACGGCGTAAAGCAGCGCTCCGGGGGGGCGGGGCTGCGCACTCCAGTGAATCAAAGCAAGTTCGATATAACGCAGTTTCACCTATAACGCAGTAAGATTTTTTGGCTCCTGAGGACAGCGTTATATTGGGGTACAGGTGTACTTTGAATTTAGTCTCTAGAAAATGGGTCATGATTTTGTTTTATATGTAACCATTTGTTTCTAATATTTTTACTCTCTATCACTTGAATCTCTGTTTTTTGATAATAAACGTATTCTTGTTTTTACTATAAATGTATCTAAGTGCTGTGGTACTAAGCAAAGTGATGATTCTGAGTTGAATCTTGCAAGCTGGTGTGTACTGTTACTTTGGGAACTTCAGGCCTGTTAATTTTGTGAGTGTTCAGTGGATGAACCCTCAGGGCTTGGCGTGTGCCTGTTGCTACCTGTACAGGGAGAACAAGGCCTGCTGGGGTCTGGACTGGACGAGCAGCTGTATTTTGAACTATCTGACGTTTCTGATCAGTTTTAAGATGCAGCGTCATAAAAATTGCATTGCAATAATCCACTAGTGAAGTGACATAGGTACTATGGTGAAATCTTCACCGGAAAGAAAATGTTGCAGTCTCTTGACCAACTATAGGTGAAAAGATATTCTTGTTCAGATAGCGATCAAGGCCATCTCAAAACAGCTTAAGATATAATAAAATCCCCAAGTTGTCAACTCGAATAACAGATCGCAGACAAATTCCCATGAATGAGGGAGCTGATATCACTTCCTCAGTTTCTTCTGGTTATTTTTCCCAACCTACCAACAATCTCAGAGTCTTAACTGGATTAAATTTTAGTCATCTAGCCCATTTCCAAGGCACAGTACTGGCAAAGACAATGTTTCCTCTGAATTTTCTTTGTGCTGAGTGGGCTATAAACTCCATTGAGTGTTACATTTTTGTCCTTGGGCAAACTTACAATTTATTATTAAGGACCAAAAAAAAAGAGAGAGGGAGAAATCCCTCACAGAACTGTGTGAGAGCATACAAAGTGGATTGCAATTGCTTTTTAGAAAGATTACATTCTATTGTATAAATGAGTATTTCAGGACTGTTTAAAGTATGGATTATGTAAATGTGTAGTTAAGGACTTTAAAAAATGCGTACTACAATAGAGTATCATGTATGTGTGTGTCCAGGGAGTTTTAAAGACATGTATTATTGTGCAGTAGTGTGCCAATAGTTGAACAGTCAGTTGGAATGTGTGAGATCTTCTTCCACATCTAGTAGCGATGACATCCATAATTAAGTTATGAGCTGTTGCTGACAATAATTTTGTTCAGAATTCTTAAATTCAATCATGAAACTCAGGACCATGTATGAAACTAAAAATATCACATTTGTCATTTGTTGGTACTCTGGATAACTGTACTCACAAACAAAACCAATTTTTGCCATGTTCATGCAATAATTAATGATAATACAAAAAAGGAAAAAAGTCACATTACTGATATTTGAAAATTGGCTACTGTAATTGTTACCGAAGGTATTTTAGGAACATCTGTGTCACATTCAGGAGCCTCAGCCCTTGAGGGAGCTATCCTACCATCTCCTCCTAGGAGCCCCTATCTCCCCCAACCCCACTCCTTATCCCTCCCTGTTGGCACTGAGAAGTGGGTGCTGAGATGCCCTGTCCTGCCAAGGGAGGGGGGAAAAGCTATCTGCTACCTACATCCTATTTCTGCAAATGCTGCTCATTGGGGGTAACTTTTTTTCTTGCTGTCCCCTGTCCCTGGGATTTTCCCCTCTGCCACTCTCAGGCAGCACTTCTCCTTCTTTCTTAACCGTGGCTCCTACCCCATCCCCGATTTTGCCTATCTGCCTCTCTCTTTTCTCTGCTTCCACCTGTTTGACTCCCCTGCACATACAATTTGACTTCCCTGCATAAATTCAGGCCATCCCTCCCCTCCAATTTGCTCTCTCTGTACTCTGGTTGCCCCCATTAATAGCAGGGAGCCAATTTTAGTTCTGAGTGACGGAAGAATCGGCAGTGGCTTCAGCAAATGTTACTGAGCATGCTTCGATTGCCCAACCAGGATCAATAACAGCAAAGTAGCAAATCATGCCAGGGAGCAGTTTGTGCCGCTACAATGTGTATTAATAAAAATATTCCAAATAAACAAACAGTCTCTATTT